GGTGGCACATGCCTTTAATCCCAGCACTTGGGAGGCAGAGGCAGGCGGATTTCTGAGTTTGAGAGTTTGAGGCTAGCCCGGTCTACAGAGTGAATTCCAGGACAGCCAGGACTACACAGAGAAACCCTGTCTCGAAAAAAAACAAAAAAAAAGAAAGTCTAAGATGTATCTTAATGCTATCATTCAAGTAACCTCTGTAGTGATCTATTCTGTTATAGAATCTGCTTGAAAGTTGTCATTAGAAGGTCAGTGTTTGGGGCTGGTAATATGGTTCAGTTAATAAAGTACTTGCTTTGAAAGCATGGGGACCTGAGTTCAGATCCCTAGGACTCACACCAAAAGCTGAGCACAGGGACACAGACCTGTAGCCCTAGCCCGAGGAAGACAGAGACAAAAGGATTCCCTGGGGCTCACTGACCAACTATTATTGCCAAACCGGTGAGCTCTGCATTCAGTAAGAGACTGTGTCCCAAAAAAATAAGGTGAAAACTCCTGCTGCCAAGCCTAACAACCTGAGTTCAATTCCCAGGTCCCAAATGATAAAAGTAAAAAAGTTGTCCACTACCCTCCACACATGTGCCATGATCCTGATATGATCACACACTCCCAAAAAAAAATCGGTGTTTTTAATAGGAGGGAAGAGGGTGAGGAAGACACATTACATTGATGTGTGGCCTCCACACTCAGATAACACACGTGCATGCACACCTCCATAAGTGTGCACATGAATACACGCACCGCATGCACAAACACAGAAGTTCAATCTTTTGAAAACCAACTAAGCAACTTTCCATGAAAGAGACAGTTGTCTGACATAGTTTCATCTCTCCATAGTTCGGGTCTAAGTGTGACCCGTTGATCACTTGACTATAGTCAGAATGTAAGAGATTTCTCAGGAGGAAAAAGATAAAACGTGAGGAAGGCTGAACCATAAGTTTTGTGTGGCCCTTGAAGGAGCCAGCTCTGAGTGACTGACATGTAAGCTGTGACACGCATACTTCACTGGCATGTCCTGCCTCTCCATTCCCAGTCGCATGACCCAGGTGAGTTGCCCAGTCACTCTGTGTCAAAGAGGTAACCACAGTTCCTACCTCCTTAAGACAGAACTGGGGACTGGTGGTATGCAGAGCTCAGAGCAGCAGACAATAGAAAAGCTGAACCCAATCTGTGTGTGCCTGGTGTTCCCAGCTGAAGAACAAAACTACACACCGGAAAGGAGACCACCCTGCTCCAAGGCTGTACACTAACAAGGCTCCACTTAGGAGCTAGTCTTGACCCTAGGAGCCTAAAAACATGAGGAACAGTTGGTAAGATTTACCACATGAAAATATGAGCCAACCCATTCATTGAGCTTTGGGCACGGTGCTTCTAAATCTTACAATGTCTTCGCTACCTTGTTGTTTGTACAAAAAGGGAAACTGAGGCTCTAAAAGCTGCTATGGATTGGGAGAGCACAATCAAACTGAAGCATGAGAGTTAGAACTTTCAAGCCCTTCTTGAGGGGCTAGTTTTAGAAACAAGGAATATTACTGGGTGAGTATGTGTGTATGTTTGTACATGTGTGTATGTGTGTTGCATGCATCTGCATGTGCATGTGTATGTGCTGGCATGTACGCAGAAGTAAAGACCAGAGAAAGATATAGAATGTCTTTTTATTTTTAGTCACTCTCTATCTTGGTGTCATGGGTCTCTCATTGAATTGGAAGTTGTCATTTCAGCTAAGCTGGTTTTCTAGAGAGCTCCCAGGAGCTACCTGTCTCTGTGCCCCAGTGTTACAGTTAAAGGCATATTCACCATGCCTGCTTTTCTGTTTGTTTGGTTCTTTTTAACAAAAGTGCTGGAGGTTCCAACTCACTCCTGTCCCCATGCTTTAATAGGAAGCACTATTGTCCCCTGAGCCATCCTCCCAGCATCATGGGGTAAACATTAGCATTAAAAATCCATACTAGACTTTCTTTATGTTGTAATTCCCCAGATGTAAGAAATGTTTTGTTTCGGAAGCAGCGCTTGACAGAGACTCTGAAAGAAAAGCAGCAGCGTCAGGAAATTCTATAACGACCAGAAGATTGGATGCATGCATGCATGTCGCTGAGAGGAAATGTAGACCAGAGAGAAACCACAAGGCCTGCATACTTGTGCACTCAGAGTTTGCAACACCCCAAGCCCTGATACAAATAAGTGAGGGAAAGTATCAGAACATTAGGAGTGCAGGGGGGAGGGAGGGTAGCAAATTGGAGAGCTGGCTCCACCCAAAGACATCCCTTTCTTTTCTAAGTACCATCTTCCCAAACAAAACAAATCTACCAACTACTGGTACAGACCCCCTTACTAGAGAATATGGTAGACAGGAAAGCTTATGGATGAAACTGGATTTGAACTTCAGGATAAAGGTTTGCCGAGTATGAAGGAAAGAGTCACTAGGCAGGAAGAACAGTAGGAAATAAAGCCTAAATAGGCAGTCAGGCATGGTGGTACAGGCCGGTGGTAGCAGTATTGTGGAGCTGGGGTATGAGAGATCTGGAGTTCTAGATCAGCCTTGGCTTTATAGCAAGTGTAAGGCCATGAGACCATCTCAAAACTAAAGAGTCTGACAAGAAAGTAAAAGGGATGTTTTCTGGGCAAGAAAGGAATCAGTGGATGTAATCAAGTTCAGCACAATTTGCCTGAAGCAGACAAATAGTGACTAAGTCAGGGCCACAAGACTCAAGGAATCAGAGGGACAGATTGCGGAATCTGACCTGTGGAGGGTGTGAGTCAAGAGGCTCACGGTATCGAATGCACCAAGTATTTCAGGAATGCTGATACAGCAGTTGTGTGAGGAACGAGAAGGGGAAAAGAATGCTCAGAAACAGAGGGAAGAAATCAGCTCATTCCTGCTTATTTAGGATCAGGAGATGAAGTTCTCACATAGCAATGGTGAAATGAAGGGCCGGGATCTGACTGGATACGGAAGGTAACGAAAAGAGAGGTCACTCACAGAGAACAGAAAATGACGATTGCTTATTACTAAACGGATGGGTGACGCCACTATTGAGAGCCAGGTTCCTGACTTGAGACTGTAGCTCTGGCCTCTTGATCACTTTGAGATCCAAAGCAGGTTACTTCAAAGCATCGTTTTACGTGTCTCTGAGGTGAGGAGGAAAACCGAAGTGCCTTCCAACCTTGTTAGAGAGCTGAGGAAATTGAAGGAGGGAACTCAGGTGTTGAGTCCAAACCTGGCCTGGGGGGGCGGGGGGAGCCCCTCAGTAGACCCTTAGCATCCTCCAACAAAGAAGCGCATGCACTCCGAATGTTTTTAACTTTCCTTCTGAGTGAAACGCTGAGACTAGTCGGAGCTGTTCACAGTTAAGCCATGAGGCGGCAAGCTCTGTTTTAAGACTCTCTCTCTCTCTCTCTCTCTCTCTCTCTCTCTCTCTCTCTCTCTCT